GAAATACAGATGACAAGAGGCTGTACTTCCTGAGATTCTTTGGTCAGATCTTTTCTATCATAGTGTCATCATAAAATATTACAACACTAAGAACAAAAACACATGGCAAAGAAAGCTTCACACTTGCAATTATTTAATAAATCTCTATCTTGTTTCAAACAGCTTCAACAAAATTATAAGGCTGATCTACTAAACATTTATTTTACCTTCATTTTTCACTTCATGAAAAGATCCTGAAGGTTATCATGTGATCATGTTGTGTGTGTCAGCCATATATATGCATGAAACAAAATAGACAAGTACCTGCCACATAACTGCCCAGATTTAACAATTGTTTATAAGAAAGAAAGAAAAAGGTTTGGATAGTGGACATGGCAGAGAAAAGAAGGGAAAGAACTGGGGGGAATCACAAAATACAAAGACTTGCTGAAAGAAATAAAATGACCACTATTAATAGGTGCCTTGGGTGCAATCTCAAAACAACCAAAGCACTACCTGAACACCATTGGCATTGATAAATTCACCATCAGTCAATTGCAAAAGGTAGCTTTACTTGGAACAGCTTACATCCTGTGATGATACCACTAACACTATCAAATATCAATATCTACTTATTCCAGGTCCTGGGGAAGGACTCCATTTGTGGATAAAAATGCCAAATCCAGTCTGAACATCTGGCTAACTGCATGACAAACCATAATAATGTAGTAGCATTGTTCAATGAAGCCAATTTGACATAGTAATTAAAGATACCAATCTATAAATCAGGAGACCAAGAGTTCTAACCCCATCTTTGACACAAAGCCAGTTGGGTGACCTGAGGCCAGTCTCCTCTCTCTCAGCCCTAGGAACCAAGCAATAGCAAACCGTGTCTTAACTCTTACCAAGACAATTACAGGGACTTGTCCAAGCAGTCACAGGAGTCAACGCTGACTTGAGCATACCCAAAAAGAAAAAAACAGAAACTATTCACATTAATAGGAACTTTCTTCCAGTCTAAAATACCTCTGGGAGGAGTAAAGTTCATTAAGATCACAGTACCAGAAGAAAGAGCTAAAGCTGCTATCTGCACATCCCATGAACTTGATCAGAAGGCCTGTGAGATTTGCTCCATCAAGTCATGAAGCAACTATTCCAAGGTTTGGCACAGCTGTGGCCCTCTTGAGATCCTTAAGGCAAGCTCAGAAGATGTTTGTACCAGGATATGCAATGAAGCAAAGCACTTGTTGCTTTGCTTTGCAGCTGCCCCCTATGGAACTGAGTCAAATTATTTGCACAGAAATGTTCAGAGCATACATCAGTTGCTATCTACGGTGGAAAAATTGCAAAGGCAAACCACATGCTTAATGTCATTCCTAAATAGACTCTTGGAAACTTGCAAAAATGTCGAGACTACATGCTGAATTTAACTAAACCTTGCAAAATGTCATTCTGTTTGTTTTTGAGCCAGATGAAGATGTGTCCAATTTGTCATACGGGAGATTTATGTTACACATAAAGAAAAGCCTTCTTCGTGTAATGTTCATGTCCTAGATGGAAAGACTACCTAACAGCTTTAGATCATGCCTTACACTAAGTCATAAAGAATCAGGATACTTATTTAAAATTATTTTTGGTACATTGAGCATAGTGCTTGGATTTGGAGGAGTGGACATGTAGCCATCACAATCAAATCTGAGGCAGGTCATAAATGTCAAATTAAAATTATTTAAATATAAAAACCAATGCAATCCTGGGCTCCACCGACAGAGGGGTAGTATCAAGATCATGTGAAGTATTAGTACCACTTTATAATGCATTGGTAAGACCATACTTGGAATACTGTGTCTAGTTTTGGTCAACACAATACACAAAAAGTTTTGAGACTGTAGAAACAGTGCAAGAGAAGACAACAGTCACAGAGAAGAGGTGGTTGACCTATTCTTCAGAGCACCTGAAAGCAGGACAAGTAGTAATGGATGGAAATGTATCAAAGAAATATCCAACCTAGAACGAAGGAGAAATTTCCTGACCGTGAGAACAATTAATTAGTGGCTGAAAGTTGTGGGTGCTTTTAAGAAGAGACTGGACAGCCATTTGTCAGGAATGGTATAAGGTCTCCTGCTTGAGTAGGGGGTTGGACTATAGAAGACTTCCACTGTCCCTTCCAACTCTGTTGTTCTGTATTCTATTCTATGTATAGGTAGGCAAAACGGTTGAAGGGTGGGCAGTCAGCAACTGCAGAATTCTGACTCCCATGGAAATCAGGAAGGAAGGAGGCAGTGTTGCACCTAATGGATGGATGAACAGTGCAAGGCCAGCAAGGTCAGGACCAGGAATCTCCCGAGAACAAGAACCAAGCCTGCATGAAGCTCCCTGCTTTAATGCTCCTTCTCATCATCTTTCCAGGCAGCTGCTGCCATCCAAGGTAGAGCAGGTGACTTTAAACTCTATCCAGCAGGAGGAAAGCTTGCCTGCTACTGCCTACCTCTCAGAACTGTTTGCAGATAGCAGAATAAGGATAGCTGGCCTCCTCATAAGTGGAGCTTCAGGAAGTGCCTTGCCCAAGTCAATTTGCTTCCAGTTAGTTAAAGTTGAAGCTGAAGCTATTGATCTTCATATAAATAGTATTCATGCTAGTAGAATCCCTTGGAGGAGGGGGGGGAGATCATTCCAATTCATTTAGTGTTTTATGAGGTAATGACAAACTCTGGATTAATGTGTTGGGTGACCTCCTCTCTTTTCCGCCCATTTCCAAAACCACCAGGAAATGATGGAATTTATATCCCAAGGATTTGTTTTCAAGAGGCTACTGGACTTAGTTTCACTTCTCATCCAAGAAGCTCTGACTGGTTGGTGGGGAATGGAAGAATTTATATTGCTTGCCGACAGCTGGTAATTTTCATTCTTTTAGAGTTGTTGACGCCACCTGGAGGTTTATATGTATCCTCAGAGTCATCTTAGTGCAAATGGGTGGGGAACCTCCTTGGAACTGCTGTGTTGTAGATTGGAGATAGATGATGTCATATCCCGCCCTTTCTGTTGAGCGAGGGATATTAAATTTTGACATAGTGGCCTCGTCACCCCACCACTTTCAATCCAGCAGTCCTCTCTGTTCAAAATGTAGATGGAATTTATAATGGCATCATCCCCAAGCTGGGGGTATCTATCATCATGTCGGAATAACCAAAACCCAATTGCTATGGAATGAAGATAGTATTGGTGGATTGATTGATTTACCTGATGGGTTTGAGACTTATTTTCGATAAAATTACTTACTGAACAAAAGACTCATTGGAATGATGCTAATGTTGATAACAAAAGTCTTCCCTTTTTTTAAAAAAAAGGGGGGGGGACTAGCTGCTGGCAAAATGAGACCTTCCTGATGAAATCAGAATGGCCTTCTTGTCCTATAGAACAGAAAATAACTTTCAATCCATAATCCATCCTTAGGGGTATAGCAAGGTCCCATTCCTATTCCTTAGTACTAAAAGCCACATATAGCTTTGCTGTTTCAATGTGGCCAATTGCCTCTGATATTCAGAAAAGAATTCCAAACAGGGCTACCCAACTTGCCATGTCACTGATATATAACCCTCCCTAAACTTGGGCACCCAAAGTAATGCCAGCCCCATCACTCCCACCCACCATCCTCGGTGTGTCAGGATTCCAGCAATCACCCTAATTAAATCATGAGCCTTGAGCCAAACTTCAAAGAGCTTCAAAGAATTCATTAGTAGCAACATATTGGCATGACCTGGATGTAGCCGATTCTGAAACATGTAATTCACTATCATGTTTGACCCTGCTTTTCCCCCACCCCTCTGGGTGTATCATAATTCATATTCTCCAATGAAACATGTCCCTAGCCAAGAGTCATCAATATGTTCTCCAATTGGAGTTTTGCATGGCACAAACTCCAGTCGGTTAGTATAATCTTTGCAAGGTATGCATGGAATCTACTTTTGCTTCCAAACTGCTGCACTGCTCTTTCAAACTCCTTCCCCCACTTTCTGTTGTCAACTATAAAACGAGCATAGAAAATGTTTTATGAGTGGACTCAGTGATCATACAGAAACTTCCTTTGATATTTTCTAAGCTTCCAGTGCCATTTGTTTTGTTTCGTTAAGAAAAAAAGGAATAAAAATTAGAGTAGCTCAAATAAAATGTTACTGCTGGGCACACATGTGTGCCCCCCGCCCCCATGAACCTCGTAGTTGATTTTAGAAAACAAAATAGATGGTTGGGTGCATTCTCAAGCTGTCTTTAGAAGTATCCCCCTTTCCCAAGAAAAGGACAAAGGAAAATGCTGATAAATAGATGCTTTTAATAGGTGAAGTCATGGCACTCATTGAATCCAATCTGTGAATAAGCTAATAATGCCCTGCAGCCATTTATGGAAGGGAGCCCACATTTCTAATATGCCACCTGCACCCCAAGATTGGGGACTCCTGCCCTAAAGACTTGCACATTGCTGGAACCTCTGATTATTTCAGGAAAGTGGTATCCTAAGCAGGGAGTATGAATCCACAACTGTTTCTTAGAAGCAGAACAAAAGGTTGGCCGAAATGAAATGTGTGCCACATTTTGGAAACAAACAGCCCGATTCATGAACAGTAGCCCCAGTTCATGATGAGCACCATTTAAACTCAGCTGATGATGATTATTTAATAAATTGTTAGAACTGGAGTTTGCTTCTGATCATCTGTCAAGCATAATTGCCTGCAAGGGTTGAAGAAGAAAACCTAAGTGAATTTAACCTCTCTTGTGCTTGAAAACTGAACCCTGCTTCCTGGGAAAGGGGAAAAAAAATCTCAGAATACTTTGGGCATCCTGACAATGCAGATGGATAAAGCCATAAGGATAAATATGATGCAAAGCAAACAGAATCGACTGCATATGTTGTGGTGCCAAACTCCAGAGGCCTGATGGCACTTCAAACTACCACGGCTGGAGCGAAGAGAACACGGAACATCTTTTTGCCTTTAAAGGGGCCTCTGGAGATGAGGGGGAGAGCATTTTTAAACAAGTGCATCTTTGGCCAGAAGAGGAGGAGGGGATCGATGCATTTTGTAGACCTGGAACAGAGGTCTTATCCTCATTTCTCGAGCCATTTGACAGATTGCACAAGGCCAGCAGCAGTGAACTGCCATCCAGTCTTCGCAGAGAGTTCCCTGGGGAAGAACAGAAAAGAATCTCTCTGTATTAGACAGACTGAGGAACCATTTTTTCCATGCCACTAAATGCTGATCTAATTAGAATTTCTCCACAGAAGAAATTCTAATTCTAGTTCTTTCCCCTTATAGGTATATCTATATACAGTATATAAAAAAAGAGGGAGGGGAGTAGAAATTACAATTTGCTACCACACCAATGAGCTTTCCCTGAAAGGAGGTAATAATTTGATTTCTTTAGATACAGAAATAATCCAAATGACAGTGTCACTAACTCACTGCATTCCACATTTTCCTCAGTCGGAGAAACTGAAATCTCTAAATAACATGGCAGAACCGCACTTATCTCTTATGGGGAACTAAAGGGGCACTCCACAGCTCCTGACTCTAATTTTACATTGTCGTTATCTGCTTTTTAGTTGCTGACATTTGAATATGCTGCATCCTCCACTGCCCCAAAATCAGTGGCATACCTGAATCCACCCTTGATTAGTCACTTCCTGTTCCCTCTTTGCATAGGCCTTTAATTACAGGGTTTGTCTTTGCCTCCAAACAATGGCTGCTCATCTTGTCTCCCTCTTGTGATCACTGCACATTGTTCAGGCAACAAAGCCTTTACCATTTTGTGAGCTTTTCCCCCATTTCTATCTCAAAATTGTAAATTAAAGGCGCCACAGAGTAACCCTACTCAATGCCAGATCCACTGCATCATCTCTGACAGATTACAGGTACTCCTCGATTTGCAATAGTTCGTTTTAGTGACCGTTCAAAGTTATACTGGCACTGAAAAAAAAGTGACTTATGAGTATTTTTCACACTTACGACCGTTGCAGTATCCCTGTAGTCATGTGTTCAGATGCTTGGCAACTGGTTCATATTTATGACCGTTGCAGTGTCCCTGTAGTTGTGCGATCACCATTTTGTGATCTTCCAACAAGCAAAGTCAATGGGGAAGCCAGATTCACTTAGCAAACATGTTATTAAGTTAATCAGTGCAGTGATTCACTTAACAGCTGTGGCAAGAAAGGTCGTAAAATGGGGGGTGGGAAACTCACTTAACAAATGTCTCACTTAGCAACATAAACAAAAAAATTAATTAGGGCTCAATTGTGGCCGTAGATTGAGGGCTAATTGTATTTTCCAGTCACCTCTTTCACTTTTTCTACCTCTGAAGGAAATAGGAATTCCTGGTTTCCCCCCACTCCACTTTAAAAACCATCTTTGTACTTCCTAATCCTCTCACAGCAGCCGTATTCCTCTCTTGAGACCAAATGGAACCATCTTTTCTATCTATGTTTATTCAGAAACAAGGCTTCCTGCGTGAATTGCATCCTAATTGGACAAAATAGCCAAACGCACAAAATCTTTCTCCTCCCCAGTCGTTCTGCAGCTGAGCTGAATTCCAGAATCTCCCTGAAAACATATTACAAGGGTGTGAATTCAGGTAGCCTTCCCAGCTTAAATACCTTCCAGTGTTCTAAATTTCAATTATAAGAATTCTGGGAATTGAAGTCCACAAGTCATAAAAGGGCCATAGTTCCTCACCTCTACACTTGACTAGACCATCAATTAAGTATGAATCTTTAAGTAAATAAAATGGCAAGATCTTGGCTAGCTACCAAAATCTTCAGAGGTCATCCCAATTCCTTGAGACCGTTGCAAGATTCGGATAAGAGTCTTAGAATTTGTATGGTTTCAAGTGAGAATGAAACTCTTGAAAGATTTGGCAATACCCTGAAATTGTACCCATTTAAAAATAAGACTACGGTACCTGGGTTGCAAAGCACCATTGACCACTAATTGGAAAGAGAAAGGTGTGCTTCCGCTGAACTAATGGTCAACTGGATTTGCTTTTTAAAGATTTTTTAAAATCTGCCTTTATTACCTTAGAACACAGGTGTCAAACTCGCTGCGTCACATTGCCATCATATGATATTTTGTGATATTTTCCCCATTGATGCAGCTGGGGTGGGCATGGTCTGCACCTGATACATCCGGCCAGTTTGACACCCCTGCTTAGAAGTAACTCAAGATGGCAAACATATCTAATATTCTCTCTTCTCCTATTTTCCCCACAACAACAACCCTGTGATATGGTTTGGGCTGAGAGAGAGTGACTGGCCTAAAATCACCAAGCCTAAGACAGGATTAAAACCCATGGACTGCTGGCTTAGAAGCCAGCACTTTCATAACTACATCAGTTTGGTTCTTATTTTTTTCCAGTTCAGATATATTAAACTGATTTTAATTTAAAATAATTAGTTTAATTTAATAACTTAATTAATGTAAATTAAATTAAATTAAATTAATAATTTAATTTAGTTTAATAACTAAATACTTATTTAGTCTATCCCAAGGACAAACTATAATTGGGAACCATTCCTGTATCCTCTGAATTGCTAAGGAGCTAGATAAAAGATGCAGGATCAATCATCTTATAATTATTTATGAAATACTTCCTATTCCTTTCCCATTACCATTGTTTATTGCGCATAGTTGTATAATTTGAAAATGAGATACCTTTGCTATAGTTTTTTTTCCTCCTGAAAATATTTACCTCCATACTACTCAGAGCATGATGCAATGCTATAAATGCAAGCACTTATATTAAGACTTAACCAGTTTACGCAACTTTCATTTCATAGGATTTGTGTTACACCCAGTGGTGGGATTCAAATTTTTTTACTACTGGTTCTGTGGTGTGGCTTGGTGGGCAGGGGAAGGATACTGTAAAATCTCCATACCCTCCCCACCCCACTAACCTTCTTTCCAGCTCCGTTCTCCTGTGCAGGGCAACAAAAGAAGACCCATCTGATCAGCTGGGACTCAGGAGGCAGAGAACAGATGGGGACAGCTCCAGACAGAGGTGGTATTTGCCAGTTCTCCAAACCATTCCAAATTTCCACTACCGGTTCTCCAAACTGGTCAGAACTGGCTGAATATCACCTCTGGCTGCACCACAACATTTCTCATGCACCCTGAACAAAATCACTGCTGGCACTCCATCTTTTCTTCTAACCTAAGTTAGAAGGACCCATGAAGAACGTCTGCATCATGTCATGCTTCCTTGGCAAGAGAATGGCTAATGTTTTTATTTTACAGGAAAGACAAGATGAGCATTAGGGCAATGGAAATCTTTGTCGCATTGATGCAGTTTGACTATTTGCTTCAAATTATTCTGAAAAGGCTGTGCCACTTTGAATCAAATTAGATTTCCAAAGGAAGTCAATGTTGATCTTACATTCAAACTGACAATTTGAATTGGACCAATTCAGACACTCAGGAATGGTTACTTATTTGCATTAGATTGATGTAATTCAACTATTGGAATCCGATCCAGTTTGCACAGCCCTAAAAAGCATTTATTTGATCTGCATCCATATTCAAAAATACTCTAGACCATGTGTCCGCTTCTCCTCACTATACATTTCTGCAGGTGGAAGATAGATATTATCCTTGTGTAGTGCCATTTGGCAAACATGGATTGTAATTATCTTAAAAAAAAAACAAATAGCTTGTATTCCATAAATTTTTACTGAAATGTTAAAATGACTCTGAAACTCCAATTGGCATGTGTACATATATATACATACACACACACACACACACACACACACACACACACACATATATGCATACATACATACATACATACATATGCACAGAAACAATAGTTTATGACTGACCTTGGTCCTCAGTTTTTCTGCTTACATAGAAATATGTCCCCTCTTTGGGGACAATGCAATTTTACAGCTGTGGCAAAGACAGACAGTTGCTTTTATTCAATTCTTAAAAAAAAATATGCGGATTTGTTTGGCTCAAGCATGCCATTTGAAAACACATCGTTTTTTTTTTTAATCTCAGGCTAAAAGAGCAACTGTTTTAGCAGTTTAATGTACAGTATTAACTGTGTATTAAGAAGCCAAGGACTCTCAGGCAAAGAGATCTTTGACCCCAGTGGTCAAGAAATGTGGGATTTGAGGAAAGAATACCGAGTGGCAAAATTGTGTCCTATGAAGCTCTGAGATTATTATTTTTTTAATGTTCTGCCTGCTTTGAACTTTTCACCCTTGTAAAGATTTTCCACTTATTCATTATGACCCATTAAGTCATTCAAGTGGCTTTCTTCCAGGCCAAGATATTGTCCACTGGAACTGAACCAGAGGAGAGGAAGAAGATTAGATGCTTATGGACAAGGACATTACGGGTAGGGAGATACCACACAACACAGACTTACATGTATGCTGTGTCTCCCTCTGATGCCGGCTCTTAGGGCTAAGGTTGAACCCAGGAGCAATGGGAAGCAAAAGCACTCACCATACTTGCTCGCAAGTCTGCATTCCAGGCAGGGGCTGCACAACAGGCCACACATACCTAGCACGAAGTACAAACAGAAAGATCAGAATGAGATGAGAGAGGCACAATGGCTTCAGTCAGCTCAGGGATCGCATCGCTGCGCTTGGCTCAAAAAATTAGGCAGCATAAGGAGACCAGAGGAGGGGAGGGGTGGAAACATGTACCTTAAGCATCCCTACGCCTCCCAATTCTGAGGGATTCTGGGATCTGTTCAAGGAGTGCTAGCACAAGCCACTAGCATTCCTTTTACAGATCCCAGAATCCCTCAGAATTGGCCTTTTTGCATTCCTGCTGTATGTGTATGAGTGGTCCTCGACATACAACCATTCATTTTGTGACTGCACTGAAAAAAGTGACTTAGGACCATTTTCCATACTTAGGACCATGGCAGCATCCCCCTGCTCCAGCTATCAGAATTGCGAAGGCTTGGCAACTGGTTCACGTTTAGGATGGTTGCAATGTCCTCGGATCAGGTGATTCCCTTTTTGCGGCTTTCTGACAAGCAAAGTCACATTCACTCAACAGCCGAGTTACTAATGTAACCCCATTAAGTTAAATTAACATAATTAAGTTATAATTAACACAATTTAAGATAATTCGGTTAACAAATGTAACAACTGCAGTGATTGACTGCAGTGATGGACAGGTGTTGTGGCGAGAGAGGTCACAAAATGGGGCAAAACTGACTTAACAATGGTCTCCCTTAACAATGGAAGTTCCGGGCTCAATTGTGGTCATCAGTCAAGGACTACTTGTATATTGGACAGTTATGGAAGTATCCATTCCGGACAGTGGTGGGATTCAAACATTTTTACTACTGGGCGTGGCAGGGGAAGGATACTGTAAAATCCCCATTCTCTCCCCATCCCACTAACCTGCTTTCCAGTTCCATTCTTCTGTGCACGGCAACAAAAGAAGACCTAGCCAATCAAGAGGCAGAGAATAGATGGGAGTGGGGCCGACAGAAGTGGTATTCTGAACTACTCAAAATTTCCGCTACCAGTTCTCCAGAACTGGTCAGAACCTGCTAAATTCCACCTCTGATTTCAGACCCTGTAAAATCATCATGTCCAGCTTTTAACTATAAAATAAGATCTTCTCTAGTGGGAAAAAGGTTCAAGTTTTCTACCTATCTCCCCCAAATCAGCAAGACATTAAAGATATTTTAAGAAAAATATCTGCATTAAAAACCTGTTGTTACATATATAGCTAGTTCTCAACTTCTGACCAGTCACTTAGGGACTATTCAAAGTTATGACGGACCTCCCCAAGGATATTTATGCAACTCAGTGCCAAAGTTCCAAAGATTGTTCCTCCCCTTGTGGTCATATGACCATTATTTTGCAACTAGCCAACAACTATGACTGCTTGCAGTGTCTCATGATCCCATGAAGATATTTGATGGCACTTTTGCTGAAAACTGGCATGCGCTTCCCATTTTCAGCAAAACCATAGCAAACAATTGGTTTGCTTAAGAACTGTGGTGTTTGGTTAAGGATCTCCACCCAAAACGGGTAATAAAATCAGGTTAGTCACCAGATAGGTTCTGTTACGTTCGTAAGTCGAGAACTACCTGTACAAGAAGATGAAGCAACTAAAATGGATGACACTACTGCAATAGAAACAAGGAAACATTGAAAATTGTGAGGGAAACATTGAAAATTGTGAGGGAAACAGTTCTGTGTAGAATCTCTGTAAGATTTTTTATCATTTCTCAGCCAACAGGAAAAACTGAAATATTTCCTAAAGGCTTTTCAGGTGCAGCAGTGGTTTTGGTAATAAAATGTCCTAGTAACTTAATGTATATAGGTAGTTCTATACCCTTAAAACAGTTCATTTAGTGACCTTTCAAAGTTGCAACGGCATTGAAAAAAGTGATTTATTTTTTCATACTTACAACCATTGTAGCATCCCTGAGGTCATATGATCAAAATTCAGACATTTAGCAATGGGTTCATTTTTATGACGGTTGCAGTTCCTGGAGTCATGGAATCACCTTCCCGGTGGTAAGTCAGATTCACTTAATAACTCCATCACTAACATAACAGTTGTAGGGATTCACTTAATAACTGGGGCAAGAGAGGTCATAAAATGGGGCAAAATTCGCTTAACAAATGTCTCACTGAACAATGGAAATGTTGGGCTGAATTGTGGTTGTAAGTCGAGGACTACATGTATAGGCATGACAGCCCAGAAACTAAGAAACAGACCTAGAGAAAGCTACAATATAAGAATACAATATGAAATCTGATAATTAGATATTATCTTTAGTATGAATTTGGACTCGGTGACAATAGCAATGGGTCCGCTATTGGAAAACCTGAAGGACCATTTTAGTAACTGAACGTTATGTATAAATCAATCAATAAATCAGAATAGAACTAGAAGGGACCTTGGAGGTCTTCTAGTCCAACCCCCTGCTCAAGCAGGAGACCCTATGTCATTTCAGACAAGTGGCTATCCACTCTCTTCATAACATCTCCAGTGATGAAACCCCTACAACTTCTGAAGGCAAGCTGTTTCGTTGATTAATTGTAATGATAGTGCTAAATGGGTTTACACAGTTCGTTCTTTCTTTCTTTCCTTTCTTTCCTTCCTTCCTTCCATCCAACCATCTGAAATGGAAATTCTTTCAGGGCTTCTCAGTGATTTGCTATCAAATCCACCAGCATGATTCCAGGAACATTGAAGGGGGTGGATAATATGCACATGTCACATCTCCCTAGTGTATCATGTTGGAGAGAATTCAAAATGTGAATCTGAAGTAGTAGAGGCTGTACCATGACCCTAATGGTCTTGTTAGTTCAGCTATTCCTCAAAACTTCTGCTTATTGTTTTCCAACAAAGTGAAGGTACAGTACATGTACATACAGGTAAACAGAATTGAAAATAACTACTGAAGCATCCGGGTGAAACTTGGAATTGGCATGGCTGCTTTAGTAATTCAAATGTGCTCTAGTGTGTATTTTGTACAGCCTTCCTTAACTGCATTGGGGGCTGGGAGGTGGGAGAAGGAGGGCAAAGAGCTTCAATCAGCAACTTGTTATGCAAACTTCCCTTTCCCCATGCAAGTCTGGATGGCAGTTTTGAAAATTAATTCAATGCATCCAATTCTCTTACAAATTGTCTTGTCACTGCAGATATCAAATAGACCAGTGGACCAGTTGCCTCCAGTGTGTAAGAGGGTTGTCATGTTGGAAGTAGCAAAGGTACCAGTGGCACATGGCTGGATTGTTACAGGTTCAGCTGAACTTTTGCTCCTGGTGAAATAAATAAATAAATCATAAAATAGTAAAGAGAATCTGAGATTTATAAAAGAAAGAAGAGAGAAGAAAGAAAGTAAGAAAGAAAGAAGAAAAAAGAAAGAAAGAAAGAAAAGAAAACTACACTGTTAAAAGAAACTGAGATTTATAAACAAAGCCATTCATATAGAACAAGCAATCTCTGATCTGCAAATGGAAGGAGAAAAAGTATTCATTATTTTAGAATCAATCTGTTTTGTCGTAATACCAGCCTGCCCTTTCTTCAGATTCATTTCCTCTTGTTGATGCTAATCTCCCACATTGGCAATAGGGAAAAAAATTAAAAATATACCTGGCACTGCAGTGCACATTCATTTCCAATGAAGGAAAAAAAACAGCTATTTAAAAATACTTCCAGGATTAATTTGCAGCATCTATATAGATTTATATATGCATCTGCCCAATATTAATTTTCCTGCCCTATATGAAAAGATAGGCATTTCTTTAGAGTGGCACTTTTCATTGCCACAATGAATATTCTTTTAAACTAAACTATTCATACTAAAATATTCATACTTTTGAAAGAAGAAAAAAGATTCCAGAGCTCTTACAGTGGCTTTTCTTTTTGAAGATGCTTTTAAAGACTTTTGATAGCAGGTGTCTTCCAAAACGTGTATATTAGCCAGATGTGAAGAAGCATAAAACAGGAGCTAAACCAGAGAGTCAGGGTGCCAAGTAGCACCCCCCAAAAAACTGATACTCTGTCCCCCCCTTGCATCAGAAGGAATTTTTAAGAGTGTAAAATGTTGTATGTCTTTCCTGGATCAGGATTCCCTGCGCTCAGATGTTCAGTCCCTGGACATCTCATGGATGGACTATTGTAATGCAGTCTACATGGGACTACCCTTGAAGAGCATTTGGAAGTTGACAGCTGGTGCATAGCATGACAATGTGTGCAGTTTTGGGGCCCTCAAGAGTGGCTCCTGTAACACCCCTGATCCGTGAGCTGCATTGGTTACCAGTCTTGTTTGGAGGTTCTACAGGGGAGCGCAGCTATCGTAAAAAATTAAGAAACATTGTTTTACACTACTTAGTAGACTAATTTGGATCCAATTTTATTTACCTTCACGATAAGCACTAATTTCAGTAGCTGATCTACTCTACTCTATTCGTGTTTAAGATTGATCCCAGTCCAAAGGAGCTTCAAGAAAACTGAAGTAATTCCTTGGTTTCCAGCATATAATGGAAAAGTCCCAAAATACATATGCCAAAAGGTAAATCAATCGTGTATAATGTATAAATGTATACATCATATATAAATCTATAGAGGAAATTGTAAAAATGGAACTCCAAAAATTATTGTTAAATTAATTTCCAAAGATGACAATAAGTATTTCATAATACTTATTCAGAATACATTCCTTGAATTAAGCACTCATTTCTTGAATTAAGACACAATGAAGTCTAGCCTAAATAATCAATGATTCCCAGCTAACAGATTGGCCAGGTTTGGCAGTAGTTTTTTTTTTTTTTAATAAAAGACTTTTTTTCAGAAAGCTAATTTGTTAATTAACATGAAGAATCTTTAAGTATATTCACAAATATAAGTTTGAATTCTTCTAACAAATAATTTTCTTTCTCTCTAGGATTCAGTCATCTTGAAACCTCATTAAATTAGACAAGTAACTGCAGTGCAATAGATCCAATAGATCCTGGTATGAAACTCTAAGGAAAGTCCCGTACATAGACTTTGGAAATTTTGAACATGAAACTCTATGCAAAGCACATCCAAGCCTGATAATAATTTGGGGGATGTGGATCTGAGATTAACCTGGTTGGGGACTTAAAAAAGAAAAGATGCCTCAAAAAGCTACACCAGAGAGGACATAAGATGAAGGACTATAGTTTTGTACAATGTAATACAGAAATTTTCACATTGCAGTTTTATCTAATTGCCTGTTTTACATAAAAAGCCTAGTCCCTTCCTTTGGCCTGAGGGCTTAAAAGTAGGCCAGAAAAGGCTTGGCAGATGCCACTAGGTGCCTTGGCCAAAGCGTCAAACTAGAACCCCAGCTCAAATGTCTGTGTTCTGATGAAGTTGCAAGTCTCACATCTTAGCTTCTGTCGCACCATTGTTTTGAGGATAAAATGCATTTGCAATACATCTGCATCATGTAAAATTTATCCGAATGTTGTTCTCAAACAAATACAATGCCATTACATTTTGGGACAGAGCGCAACTTTGCTGTTGTTAAGAACTTTGGGGATTTTCTGATGGTAGCTTTCAGTTCCATGCATGCTCCTCCCCAGCCGTAAACCACCATGTTACTGAGAAACAAGGAACACCACCATGGATTGGTATCTGTTATCCACAGTAGACTGCTGGGAGGTAGATTTGATCCACAGGAAATTCACAATTACTAAGAAATATGCTGAGAAAGCCATCACACACAAAATGTGAGGATTCTGTGCCCGACATCGGTCTGACTTAAAAAAGAGTTACTTTCCTAAGTCCCATATGAGTCCACTATTATACTCCAATCAATAAATGACTCTGTGTTCCCTCCCTTTCAGAAGTGAGGCAATGGAGGTGAAAGGTTTTTATCCAAGGAAGATCCATCTAAATCCACCATCTGATTGAATAATCTGATTGAATAATATACAGATGGCCTCAGAACATAGTTCCAACAGTGTAGTTATCTTGTAGATTATGATGCTTGTAATGCTTTAGCTTTCTAAGATACTTTTGTGAGATGTTTTAAGAATCTTCTGGAGACTAAAATCAAAGTATACAAATAGACATATAATCTCCCCTGCATTTTGCAACATCCCAGACATAAACAAAATAAATAGATATAACTGCATTTTTTTCCTTACCCCAACATAGATAGGTAGTTGTTCCAGTCTCCAGATACTGGCAGAGAAAGGATCAATAGAGATTGTGTTGTGTCAGACAATGACTTTTTCTCACTTGTAGTAAAACAGCAGCTTATAAACTTGTCCATTGGGAAGAAGCAGCTAGGCAGAAGATTAAAGAACAGAATAAAGATTGCTCAAGTTTGCTGTTAAAGAATGCTGACATCACAACATTCTCCATTATAGTGTCACAAGAAAGTGGAAAACCAACTTTTTCCAAAACAGTTAATGGAAACAGCAAACACCCAAAGGCCAGTCATTCTTCTGCATGTGTTTTCTTCAATATTAATGTAACAAAACTAACTTTCAAATGTTTTAAAACAAAAGAGGGCAACCTATGGCCCTTGACCCATCCACCCTTTTGTCTGCAGCCTTCTAAAACTCACTGTTTGAAATTGGATGTGTGACTTTATTAGCCATTAAGTAGTAATTGCCAAACCCACTCAAATAAAAACACATTTCAATCAAAAATATGTGATTCATAGTTCCTATTGAATGTTAGTCACCTTGAGTCTCTCAAATTTAGCAATCAGATAAGGCTGGCATCATCATCACCATCATTATCATGCATCTTATCCACATCATCTCTCCTTCTGCTGCCCTTGTACTTCCAGGAAAAAAAAAAACCATTTCTTTGTGGCATTGTCTGACTAAAGATGCTGATTCTGGTTTAGAAAAAAGCAACAATACTTCTCTGCACTTTTTGCATCAACAGATAGCCACCTGGCAGCCTTGTTTAAGGTGACATGAGCCCTCTTGGGGAAGGAGAACTCAGAGATTTACTTACAAGCCGGGCAGAGGAATTAGCAGAGCATCTGTCAGACAAAATTGCTTGAATTCATTCCAAATTGAACATCAGCTTTGATAAAGTTCCAGTGAGATGATGGAGACACAGATTTGCTCTGTTATCGGGTAATGGTTTGTTCCTGTTGGGCCTGAGAAAATGGACATTGTTCTAATGACTGTGAGTTCAGCCACCTGCTCCTTAGTTTCATGCCCCTCCTGGCCAGTTAAGGCTCCTCAGGGAGTGTTGTGTGGTTGGGTCCTAGTTGTGGTTAATTCTTTGAGAAAGGAGGCATGGACTCACCCCCTCTTCAAGAAGCAGGGCTGGATTCCATTTTACTGAACAACTTTCATCTGGTGTCTCAGCTCCATTTTTTTTATTTTAATTTTAATCATTCTGTATTATAGTTTTTAATCCTTTTATCATTGTGTGAGATGGGCAACAAATACATTTAATATACATTTAATAATACATTTACTGCTGTAATTTAACCCTATAAAAATCAACCTGGAATTAGACTCTAAAATACAAGACTTATACACTTCATGTGATGAAAATAATAGAATTATTTTTTCCAGCTATCAAATATAGCTCCACTTTATTGAAATTCTTTAAGCAAATTAGATCTGTTTTATTCCACCATGCCTTCAGCCAAGTTGTTTGATCACAACTGCCTCCTTACAGTAAGTTTTGGGTTTGACTGAAGCTTTTATCATTGGGGGGTTTTTCGCCTCTTTGTTTTGATGTTCCAGGCTATGAGTTCAGGAAAGAGCTGGCTAATAAGCACTGATAAATAAATAGTCAGCCAGCCACTGGCAGAACTCATAGGCAAGATGGATGGTAAAGTGAGTGAAAAGAGCCTTTAAAACTCTGAGAGATCTGTTTATTTATTTTTTTTATTTGTCCATTGCTTACAAGATAATAGATATAAGTAAAAACATAATTATGAATACATGGATACATATAAGAAAAATAAAAATAAAAGAAACAATAGGACAGGGACGGTAGGCACGCTAGTGAGCTTATGCACGCCCCCTACCGACTCTTAGGAAAGGGGTGAGGTCAATAGTAGACAGTCTAGAGTTAAAGTTTTTGGGGTTTGGGGAAAAAAACCACAGTCAGGTAGAGTATTCCAGACATTGACCACTCTGTTGCTGAAGTCGTATTTCCTGCAATCAAGTTTGGTGCGATTAACCTTGAGTTTGTATCTATTGTTTGCTCTTGTGTTGTTATGGTTGAAGCTGAAGTATTCATTGACTGGTAGGACATTGCAATGTATGATTTTATATACTATACTTAGATCAGACCAAAGGCGGCGTAGTTGTAGGTTTTCTAGGTCTAGAATTTCAAGTCTGGTGGCATAAGGTATTCTGCAATGAGTAGTGGAGTGGAGAATTCTTCTTGTGAAATACTTCTGGACTTTCTCAACTGTGTTAATATCAGATACGTAATGTGAGTTCCAGACTGATGGAATTGGTCTAGCAAATGTTTTGTATGCTGTAGTTATTAGTGTAATATTACCAGAGAAAAAGCTACATAAGATTAGGTTAACAACTCTTAATGCGTTTTTGGCTATGTAGTTACAGTGGGCTCTAGCACTTAGGTCATTTGAGATGAGTACTCCAAGATCCTTGACAGAGTTTGGTTCATCAACAAGGTCTTGACTATTCAGCCTGTATTTTATTTTCTGATATTTTTTGCCAATATGTAAGACAGAGCATTTGTTTGTTGAGATTTGAAGTTGCCATTTGTTTCACCATTCTGATACAAAGTTGAGGTCTTTTTGAAGGGTAGCAGTATTGTCTGTGGTGTTGAATAGCTTTACATCATCAGCGAAGAGAACACAGTTGCTCTTGATATGATCACAGAGGTCGTTTATGTAGAGTATGGAGAGAGTGGGTCCTAGAAGCCTGCCTTGGGGGACACCACTGTTGACAGGTACAGAATTTGATAGGACATTCCTAATTTTGACCATCTGTTGTCTGTTTGACAGGAATGCTTCTATCCAGTTATGCAGGTGTCCAGAGATACCATAAGATTTTAGTTTTAGGAGTACTTTGCCGTGTACCACTGAATCAAAGGCTTTACAGAAGTCTATGTAGATTGCATCTATTGTTTTGCCCTGGTTGAGTTGTGTAGTCCATATGTTTTTGCAGAGTAAGAGTTGCAGATTACATGATAGTTTTTCCTAAAACCAAATTGTTTATTAGAGAGTAGATTGTTTGTTTCTAAGTGGAGGATGATGGATTGGTTAATAATTGATTCCATGACTTTACAGGTGATGCAGAGATTGGTCTGTAATTTTCAACTAGGCTGGGGTCTCCCTTTTTGAACATGGAGATGACCGTGGCTTGTGACCATAGTTTTGGCAAAGATTTTTCAAAGATTATGCTTATAGGTTCAGCTATGGCAGTGGATAGCTTTTTCAAGAAGTAGGCACATATTCTGTCTGGTCCAATAGATAGAGATGGTTTTAGAAGGTGTAGTGCTTTTTCAACATTGTCTTCTGTAAAATTGATATGTATTAGATCATTGTAATTGTCTGTGGTTAGACTAGGAAATATTGGGCATGATCCATTGCTATTTACAAATACTGAGCCAAAGAATGTGTTAAAGAGGTTGGCTTTAATAGTGTCGTTGTTGCAGTCTTTACCATTAGGTCCTTTCATGGGTGGGATGGACCTTGAGTCTTTTAGTTTATTGTTTACAAAATTGTAGAAAGCGTGGGTGGAATTGGTGCATAGAAGGTTTTCTTCTTGTTTAATGTGATAATTGGTGCATTCAGTTTTTATCTGGTGGCATAAATTTTTGTATCGGCTTTTGAAGTTGGCAACGTGACCAGATTTGTTTTTCCACCAAAGTGATTTCTTTTTGGATTGAAGCTTCCTTATTGTTTTGGGTAATTTGTTTTTTCTGGTTTTGGGAGTTGTTATTGGTACATATAGTTTGATGACTCTTTTGACTTCAAGTAAAAATATGTTGTAATGGTCTTCAACAGTATTGCATCCAGTGAATAGAAATTGCCAATCAAGGGATGAGAGATCGTTGTTTATAAGATCATAGTTGCCTTTTTTGAAGTTATATTTGGGGATTCCGTCATTGTGATGATTTTTGTGTGGACGTATCATGTTGTGGTCACTGTTGGAAAAGGGTTCTTTAATTTCTATTCCATAAATTGAATTCAAACTATTGTAGAAGATGAGATCGAGGCAGTTGTTAAGTCTAGTGTTGTTGGTTACTAGTTGTTCTAGTCCCAGATTTGTTACTGCATTGTAGAAGGTTACATGTGTGGGTTCAGTTATACATTCATTAAGGGTCCAGTTAATATGAGATAGATTGAAATCATCAAGAAAGATAAAAGCATGTGGGCAGGATGCTGCCCATGTTAGTAGTGTATTTAGCTTGTTTGCATTTTCGATGTCATAATCAGGGGCTCTGTTACATAGTAAGAACTGAAATGTGATATTTAAGGACAGTTCACAGATGATGGTCTCAGGAATAGCAAGCTCCTGGGTTACTTGGATGTTTTTTAGATGTAGGGACTTTTTATAGAAGACAGCAACATCACCTCTACGGATTTCACAATCTGATCAGTAAACATGATAGTCTCTTACTGTGGTAATGGAGTCAGGGAGAGATGTGTTGAGCCATGTTTCACAGACAAATATAATGTCAAATTTAGCCGTATTTAGTAAGAGGAGAAATTCAGGTATTTTATTTACAAGGATTCTTGCATTGAGTAGCTTGCAATTCAGGCCAGTTGTGGTTGGAATAGAGGTAATTAGGGGTGTGCATGCCTAGTTTTGAGTGATGTTGGATTGGATGGGGTGGGGTTGGATGCAGAGTTGTGGGTTGTGTGACTTTCTTTTGATGCAGTCAGCTCAGTAGTCAATGTATAGCTCCTTTTCTCCATTGTCTAGACAGTTTTTGAGTTCTGCACGGAGTTCACAGGAGCGGATTCTTTGCAGTATGGATAAGTCTGGTCTTGAGCGAAGTTTTTTGTGGTTGGGATTGGTTTTTGCAATGGTGTTTATTGTATGAATGAATATGCGTTTACAGACTTTCTTTATCCAATTCTCTTTTTCAACTTGCTAGGTCAATGTCTCCATTTTGTTTTCTTTTGTCCACTGATGTGAATCAGCATATCTTTGTCTCTATCGACATATATCTATATGTAGGTATACATTTAATCATTTCAGTGCTAATTTGTACTTCAAGTGGGATCTTGTTCTTATATATGATTAATTTGTCCTAGTTTTCTACTTATAGAAGGAAATAGAAGGCAATTAACTATAGAACATCTGG